TACTCTACTCACTACTATATTACTTGTCGATCGCGTACACTTGCGTGAGTGTTTTGGTCGCAACAGAGACATCAAGGTAGTTGTTTGGCGCCCGTTGACCTTGCCTCTTTTCCTTTCATTTTTGGGTTGTTCTATATTTTCAGACAGTATTTTTATCAGAGGGATGTTGTTATCATTTAGATGCTCATGGACTCAGTGATACCGGATTTTGGGAGTGTAATTGTACCATATATTGTGGAATTTTCTGTAAAAATCTAATTATTATGTTTTCAAACTTAAAGGAATTTGAGATTTATTGAGGTTATTGGCTTGCATATATCGAGATAGGTGCTATCACGAAATGTGAGATTTTGGGTGGTGAAAAATTTGCGTTACTCATTTTATACTTGCGTGATGACCTCCCAGACATCACCAAAAGTATGATCTTATTGTAACTTGCGAATGAAATAATTAATTTTTAATTGATAATTCTACATCCGACTTGTTCAACATCTCAATGTACGAAGAATTGAAGGTTTGGTTTTATGTACCAGTAATTTGAGAAATTTTATTTTGGGTGAGACTCACCCAACAAAAGTTGTATGAGGCCACCTATTTGACAAGTGTGATTTTGGGGCCCGTTTTCTGACATTGGTTAAATTTGAATAAACAAATAAGAATAAGTCATTTTTTTATTGATTTGGATCTCACTCATATATTCAATAAATAGATAGTTAAATAGATATTGTACGAGGAAAATGAATGGATAGAAAAATATGAAAGACATTTTACTCCTTAATTACCATAATTTTGTTGATCACCACCAAACGTAAAATTTATAATTTTGTATATATCTGTCTTCTTCTTCTTTTTCATTATCAAAGTTCGTATCTTTTCAAAACCATCTTAACTTATCAAAGCTTTAAAATGAACCTTTAGAGGTTGTTCATTGATATAAATAAATATGAAATATATTATACATAATTTGTCAATAAAATGCTTCTCATTTGATACAGAAATACATAAAAGTAGTTAGTAGCATTGAGTACTTTTTGCATATTGAATCATTTGCTACCAGGTTTAACCTGCAAGATCATTATAAAAATATTTTTTACCATAAAATTAAAATAAGATTAATATAAATTTTTATCATTAAGAGGATGTTTAATCACTACGAAAAAAACGTATGTTATTGCAACGGTTTATTTTACGTTTAGTGGCGGTTTCAAACTGCCACAATATGCTCTAACATCGTTGTTAAGTCAAATTTAAATTGACTTAAAAGTTTGTCAATTCAACTTAAAGCAGTTTATGACTTGTTTTAGTATTTGATAAACTTAAAAGTAATTTTAATTCAAGTACTTTTAAGCTAAAATAATTCAAAACAAACTAAAATTTATAATTTGTGCATCTTAACTTATTGTTTTTTGGGCTTAAAAATGCTTGAGTTTTGTCCAATTAATTTAATTTTTTTACCCTTATAAAATATTCCCTCCCTATAAAACTCCTGAAGGCTAAAGCCAATCATTTCTATTGATTTGATTATAGAGAAAATCAAAATTGGTATACACTAATTGCTTCTCTATTTGTTTATTTTTTCGTTTATGGGTTTTGTAAGCATTTAAATTTTATCGAATCTAAATCGATAAAATAATTTGGACTATATTTCAAATTCAAGACGTTTTAGTCCAAGTAAATTTATTGGGCTAATATAATTGAATTTCAATGTATATGGATTAAATAAATAAGTCTTAATCCATTGAGCTAACCCATTTAATTGGACTAAAGTGATGATCCTACTTCATTAAGCCCAAGATGTCATCTTCCTAGAGGCCCAGTTTGGTGCCATGTGTCAAATGACGTGGCGCGCCAAGTCAAGCGGAAGAGCCAATAGGACCATGCCACGTGTCAAAATAACAAGTCATGTCCAGTCGCGCTAAAAGGCCAATGAAATCGCGCCACGTGTGCAAGTGACATGTTCTGGCCAATCAAATGCAGCCATGTCACACTTCAATTTGATTGGTCGGAAAGAGTTTGTTTTTATCACAACTCTTTCCTTCCACAACTATAAATAGGGGTCTTTATCCCTCAGAAAAGACACCAAAAGTTATAACAAGAAGCAAGAGAGAGCTCGTGGATCAAACGCCGCAAATTTCTCTACAAGTTTCAAGCTTCAAGCAATCAAGTTCAAGTTCAAGAAATCAAGTTCAAGCTCAAGAACGAAGAACAAATCAAGTTCCAGCTCAAGAACGAAGAACAATTCAAGTATTCAAGATCAAGAACGAAGTCAAATCAAATACAAGGCGTTCTAGATCAAGGTTACTTATTTGTGATAAAATTTGTGGCAACAATCAAAGTGTTCGCGACGGATAAATCAAATTACAATTCAAGATCAGCTCAAAGGCCCTTGAATTTATATTAGAAAAGTAGAATCAGAGGAATCATAGAGATTGTAACACTCAAATATTCAAAATAAAATACTACGATTGTTGCAATATTTTTCGGTCTTGATTTTTATTTTCTCGACGCAAATTTATTGTCTACAGGTTTTTCTTAATAAGTTTTAGTTTTTAGTTTTCGCAATTCGAATTTTCATGCATATTTCCCTTAAGGCCATGTGGCTGAATAAATTATATTAAGATTGTGCAGTTTACGGCTGTATTCTGGGCCGGGCCCGGGCCTTCATGGGCCAAACGGGCCGGCCTTCGTGGGCCTAGGCTTCGTGGGCCTGGGCTCTGGCGGTCCCGGGCCTTGCAGTCTCGGGCTTCGTGGGCTCAACGGGTGGAACCGGCCCATGACGGGCCTAAGCCCATATGGTCCTGGGCTAAACGGGCCGGGCTC